TTCATAAGTTCAGAAAGTCATTCACTCCATCTGTACTCTGGGTAAGCATTTCATGTCACCTGCATTGCAAAGGCACCTGTCTGTTTACTCATTCGGAGTCTCAACTAGCGAGTCGGAAATGGTGGACCAAATCTATGACCATGTGAGTGAGTCTGTGTAAGCGCATTTGGTTTTTGTACTCCCTGTTTACCATCCATCCATTTTCTGTATCTTAGGTTATGGTTGCAGTGTAGTCAAATCATCTTTTTTCGGTATATGTAACATTTTATGATACAGAAAATAAATCATAATAATGTCTGAGTTTAATTCAAATGTGTCTGCTTCCAGCCATTGTTTCTCACCATACGTTTCTGTGCCAGATGAATGAAAGCCATGGTATTTTCTCCCCATGGAAACTCATACTCACTGTAAGCAAGCCACCACGTGATCTTTTTAAAAAGCGACATGATTGATCTTGTTAAATCACTGCCAATAAAAGACTTGCTCCAACCTTTGAATATTTTTCATTATTCTTCTCTCTATTCTCTCCATGTTTCCAACATCCTTTAAAGAAATGCAAATACCAGATTTCAAGAACAATTCTGATAGTATCTGTTTTGACAATACTTTGTAGGGTGATAAATTAATCTCTCAAGTGCAGCTTACTGCTGTGCACCTGAGTATTTAAGGTTGTTTTAACCCTTTTTGTTTCAGCATCCCAACAGCCATTCATACTGAGTTGGTGATTCATGCTGATCTCTAAATTATTTTGGGCATTACTTCATTCCAAGAGGAACACATATCCTTTTCTATGTAAATGGGGCCTGATTCCTTGTCCTTGTAAATACAATGCAACAGTCATTGTGTTTACAAAAAAATATTTAAAAATTTTGCTGAAAGAGATGCCATTGACCAATTGGTACACTGCATGATTTCTTTGTCCTCATTACCATTAATCATTTTTTTTCAGTCTTTGTCATGTGTGGACTTCTCAGCTAGTATATATAGGTCCTATTGAAACTGACTGGTTCTGTTACTCTGGGAACTTTGCAAACCTGTCTAGAAATTTCCATTTCTGATGTTGATTGCCTTCTGACAATTTCTTTCTGAGCTGTCAGTGAGCCAATTTTTAATTCATTTCTTTTGCACTGCACTGATCTCTGTTTGGCTACACTATTTGTGGTGGTACTTTCTTCTCATATCTCTGTCTCAAGAAGGAGCTAAGTAGCATAGTGGGGGTTTGGAGAGCATCCATCTATGCTTGTCCTGCTGCTATACTGTTTGCCTATGATGTTAATGTCTTTATCATGTCTCCTTTCAATTCCCTATTGTTTCAAAACCAAAAAGAGCTTATTTCTGCTACCGTTCCATTCCCCTTGCCAAGTGGACTGTACTCCATACGGTTTTAGTTCGACTTTGTGTTTTTTGAGATGAGGTGATGGGTGCTTCGAGATACGGACGTACTATAGATTTATGCACTGGCATCCCAATGCTTTCTGTTTTGTTCTTTATTCCTTTTCTAATCTCTCCTAACATCCTATTTGCTGTTTTGACTGCCACTAAACATTCGGTTGATATGTTCAAAGAAATATCCTCAACGACTTCAAGACCATTTTCTTGAGTGGTAATTGCTAATTTAGAACCTATCATTGTGTATTTGTAGTTAGAGATTATTTTTTTTTTCTTGTGCACATTGCCTTCAGTTCATTGGCACTGAATTTCATTCTCTTATTTTATTGCCAAGGCACTCAATATTGTGAGATCCTTTGCAGTCAGCTTTAATTTTTATTGCTCTAAATAAACCAAGGCTATTATCTCACCACAGCCTGGAACCAGGTTAGTTTGACAAAAACTATTTTCCATGTCTTTCTTTTCTTCATTAACATATTTTTATCTTCTTCTGATTATTTATATTAAAAAAACCCCCAGAGAACAAAGTCAAATATTTGATGTTTACTTGCAAAGAAAAGATCATATGAAAGTGTTAAGTAAACATTTCACACTACCAATGCTGTTTCCAATTATTTATATTATTTTATGGGTGTGTCTTTGAAACACTTGTTTCTGATTTTGACTTAGCACACAATCTAAATGATGTTTTGACTGATGACAGGGAAGTTCAAAGTGTGACCCAGCTCCGTTGACGTACAGAGCACAGAAGCTAAAGTTTTTCAGGCAGAACTCAGTTTTTGTCTTCTATTAGCTCAAGAGAATTGTTCAAGAAATTAATAAATGTGAAGGACAGAATTTTCTAAGGAAAGAGGTTCCATTCCTGGTCATAGTGAAGCAGTCGCACAGTGCAAGGCTCCCTTAGTTTCTTGTGTCCAGCTCTCTTGAATGTATTTATCTTTTTCAAATTCCAGGAGTTTGAGGTTGTTTTAAACACAGTTGCTGATATTTCCGTAATTTGGTTTTTTTTGGAAGGACTATAGAGGAGGAGAAGAGCAAGTGAGATGGCTCATTCTTACTTCATGCACAGCATGCTAATTTATAGCAACATGTCAGTACTTTGATATTGCCCCTAAGCATCTGTTGCAGTTACTAGCTAGATAGC